ATGGTATGAGGTAGGATCCAAATTCATTCTTTTTTTTTTTTAAGATTTTATTTATTATTTACTTGACAGACAGAGATCACAAGTAGGCAGAGAGGCAGGCAGAGAGAGAGGAAGGGAAGCAGGCTCGCGGCTGAGCAGAGAGCCTGATGCAGGGCTCCATCCCAGGACCCTGGGATCATGACCCGAGCCAAAGGCAGAGGCTTTAACCCACTGAGCCACCCAGGCACCCCCACATTCATTCTTTTACATGTGAATATCCAGTTGTCTCATCACTATTTGTGGAAAAGACTGTTCTTTCCCCGTTGAGTGGTTTTGGCAGTCTTATCAGAAACTAGTTGACCATGAATATAGTGGTCTGTTTCTGAATTCTCAGTTCTCCTCTGTTGATCCATATGGCCTGTGCTGGCACTGCACTTTTGATTACCAAAGCTTTATAGTAAGTTTTGAAATAAAGAAGTGGTAGTTGTCCAGCTTTATTCTTCTTTTTCAAGATTGTTTTGGGTATTCTGTAAATAGTCAAAGGTTCCTTAAATTCCATATGAATTTTAGGGTCAGCTTATTCTGCATAGAAGGCAGTTGGAATTTTGCTAGAGATTGCATTCAGTCTGTCAGTCAGTTTGGGAAGTATTGCCATTATAATGATATTAAGTCCTTCCATTGGATGTCTTTCCATTTACATCAGTCTTTTTCAATCTCTTTCAACAATGTTTTGCACTTCCTTTGTTAATTTGTTAATATTTTTAATGTTCTTATAAATGTGATGGTTTTCAGAAGTTTTTCTCAGATTGGTGTTCGCGAGTGTATACAAATGCAGTTGATTTTTCTATATTGATCTCGTTTCCTGCAGCCTTAGTGAACTCATTTATTAGATGTAATAGTTTTCTTGTGTGGATTCCTTAGGATTGTCTTTGTGTAAAATCACACCCCCTGCAAACAGAGATAGTTTCACTTCTTTTCCAATATATATGCCTTATATTTTATTTTCTTGCCTGAGTGCTTTGGGTATAACCTTAACAGTATGGTGTTGAATGGTGTTGCTGATCTGGGGCAGGGGTGGGGAGGTGGTCTGTCTTTCACGACTGAGTGTGATGTTAGCTGTGAGATTTTTGTGCATACCATCTATCAGATTGACAGAGCTGACTTCCATTCCTAATTTGTTGAATGTTTTTATCATGGAGAAGTACTGGATTTTGTCAGATGCTTTTTCTGCATCTGTCGAGATGATTGTGTAGTTTTGTTTTTTTTGTTCCTTTGGTGTGGTATATTACAGTCACTAATTTTTTATTTTAAACCAACCTTGTATTCTTGGAATAAATCCCACTTGGTCATGGTATACAGCCCTTTTTATACATTGCTGGATTCCATTTGTTAACATTTTATTGAGGATTTTTGTGTCTATATTTAACATGTTCTGATTATTTAAAAATAATATTTGAGAAAGTTTAAACAAAAAAAAAAATCTAAAAAAATATAGCAGATACAGGGAGCCTGCTTCTCCCTCTGCCTCTGCCTGCCACTCTGTCTGCCTGTGCTTGCTCTCTCTCTCTCTCTGACAAATAAATAAACAAAATCTTAAAAAAATATATATATATAGCAGATAATGTTTCCCAAAATTAGTCAGTGCCTAAAAAACACATGTAACTTTTTGTCTTATTTTTTGGTATGAAATTTTTCACCCTCCTTGCTCACCCCCTTTCCCCTAGTCTCTCCCTTTTGAGAAATAAAGTGTTAGAGTTCAGTGCTGGCCATCATGGCATAAGCCACCTTTCTCTCTTGCTGATGACAGGTAAAAGCTCGGGATAAAATACTGAAAACAATGCAAAGCCAATAGATTGGGAAGGGTAGTTGAAACTTGGAGTAGTGACCCACATATGTTTGTGTTTTCCATTTTTTAAAATCTCTTTTTCCCACAGCTTTGACCATAGGCCAGGTATCCACTGTGGGGCTGTGCTGTGAGTTGCACAGACAGCAAAAACCCTTAAGAGAAACCCCCCTCTTTCTGCCTAGAAGAACTGAGGAAAGGGGCCCCTGTAAGCAGAAGCATGTGAGGGAAAGGCAAAAGAACTAGAATACTCAGAACAATTTTGAAAAAGAACAAAGTTGGAGGACTTGGTCTGTCAGATACCAAGACTTACTATGAAGCTATAATCAAGACTGATACCGGCAAAGGGATAGGTACGTAATAACCTACTGGACAGAATAGATGCTCCCAAGATAGACCTACACAGATGTGGCAAGTTTTGACCCAAATGTAAAGGCAGTTGAGTGGAGAAAGGATAGTCTTTCAGCAGGTGGTATTGGAATAATCAAACGTCCATCTACAAAAAAAGAAAGCTCAAATACACCTTGCATGTTATATAAAAATTATATAATAATACTAAGTAATTTATAAAAATTACAAAATAGATAGAAATCTATCATCCACTGAAAGTAAAACCTAAAACTTTAAAACTTCTAGGAGAAAACAGGAAATCTTTGTCATCTTGAGTTAAGCAAAGCCTTGTTAGATATGACACCAAAAAAATGGTCTGTGAAAGAAAAGTTGAGGGACTCCAGGGTGGCTCAGTTGGTGAAGCGTCTGCCTTTGGCTCAGGTCACGATCCCGGGGTCCTGGGATGGAGTCCTGCATCAGGCTCCCTGGTCAGCGGGGAGTCTGCTTCTCCCTTTTCCTCTGCTTGCTGCTCCCCCTGCTTGTGTGCTCTCTCTCTCTCTGACAAATAAATAAAATCTTTTAAAAAAAGAGAAAAGTTGAGTTGAACTACATCAAAATTTAACCCTTCTGTGCTCCTCCACTGTTAAGAGAATGAAAGACAAGCCACAGACTGCAAGCAAATATTTGCAAATTACATCCCTAACAAAGGACTTCTAACCAGAATATATAAAGAAATCTCAAAACTCAATAATGACACAAAGAACTCCCCCCAGAATAAACCAAAAGATTCTAACAGACACTTTGCTACGAAAGGTACACAGACAAAAGGCACATGAAAATACCCAGTCAGTAGGGAAATGCTACACAGGATACACTCCACATCTATTAGCATAGCTACAATTAAAAGGTAACTTTAAAAATCCTATCAAACCAAGTGCTGGGGAGGATGAGGAGCAGCTGTAGTTTCCAGACACTGCCAGCAGGAACACAGCGGCACAGCTCCTTGGGTGAGTGGTTTGGCGGTTTCTCGCAAAGTGAAACATGCATTTGCCCAGCAGATGCATTCTGAGGTATTTACCCAAGGGAAATAAAAACATGTTTCCACAAATACTTGTGAGCAGATATGTATAGTGGCTTTATTTAAAACCACCAAGAACTAGAAACAAGCCACGTTTTCCAGGTAGTGAGTGGATGAACAAAGGGGTCCATCCATACAGTAGAATTAAGTACATGGCAGTAAAAAATTTATTATTGCTACTCCCAAAACACAGGTGACTCTTGGGCGTGTCATGCTGACTGAAAGAAGCCAGACTCAGAAGCGCTCGTGGGTTATGAACCCATTTATGGGACATTCTTCATGGTAACAGAAAACATGAATGGTGGCCAGGATTTGGGGTAGTGGAAGGCTTGAGCACAGACGGTGTGCTCAGGGACTTCTGAACCACATTGTGACTGTGGTCATGGTTACACACCTGTGTGCATGTGTCAAACATTTATAGACCTGAACACCAGGAGGAGTGATCATTATGTAAGCTTTAAAAAGTGAACAAAGTTGAGGGGCACCTGGGTGGCTCAGTGGGTTAAGCCTCTGCCTTCGGCTCAGGTCATGATATTGGGGTCCTGGGATCGAGCCCCACATTGGGCTCTCTGCTCAGCAGGGAGTCTGCTTCCCCCTCTCTCTGCCTGTCTCTCTGCCTACTTGTGATTTCTGTCTGTCAAATACATAAATAAAATCTTAAAAAAAAAAGTGAACAAAGTGAGAAGTTCTGGATACATCTGAAAGCTAAAGTCCCCTTCCCACCACAGCTCCCACCCCACCCTGCCGAGGTCATCATGTTGCCATCATGAAGTTGGTGAGTGCCGGCCTCGCTTGGTCCCATATCCTTACTGTGCACGTTTGTATAATCACGGGAGGACAGATGGTCACTGTGTTTTAAACATGTATATAAGTGGTATAATTGTATGTGTATTTTCTTTGCAACATGATTTATTTCTCTTGACATTGTGTTTCTGAGTTTTATACATGCCCACATCTGTTTCTTTTATCTTCAATTCCTGTCTCAGTAGCGGGGCCGCCCTCACAAGACCCCACGGGCCCAGCCTTCGGCGACAGCCTGCTAGGTCTCCCGGTTCTGGAGGCTGAAGTCTGAGCACGCTGTGGTGGCCCGCAGACCTTCTTGCGATGGCCTCACTCAGGGCCTCTCCTTTCTCCTCTCTGCCCTCTCCTCACCCCCGCCTGTGGTCCCTCTCCTCATGCCATCCCACTGAGGTTAGGGCTTCTGCGGAGGTGTTTGGGGGACACAAACATTCAGTTGTTAGCACTTTCTAACAATTCATTGAGTGTTTAATAATAGAGCGTTTTTGACATCTGTTAAAATAAACTACACCAGTGCACATCCCATGGGTCTCTATTTCCGTGTCTGCACGCCTGAGGTTGCACCTAGAAATGGAGGCCCCCCTTGTACTTGGATGCAAGAACATCCCACGGTTAGGATGAAAGTGTCTAACAGCGCAGGGTCTGGTGTTGGGGTCAGGGGTTTCAGGCTAGTGACACAGTGTGTGGAGTGCCTACCTTGTGTCTATGCGCTTTCTCTCATTTCTCCCATTTCTAGAGGAGAGGCAGGCACTGAGCGTGACTCCCAGGTGACAGTGCTCTTCTTGAGGCTGGGAGTACAGGGGCCTTCTGAGAGAGGACCAGTACCACAGTAGGTCCTCCCAGCCACCACTAAGGCCTGGTCGGGAAGGGCGTCCTGCTCTCAGGCACCAACCCGCCCTTTGTCGCAGCTGAAGCCAGGAGGGGTGGGCCTCATTAGCACTCGGGCCTGCTCAGACCTGTGCTTCTTCCCAGGCCCCACCATGTCCGGGCCCCAGACCCCAGAACCAGCCCTCCGGATACAGGGAGATGCCCCCACGGGCGCAAGGGACGAGGACGCTGCTGACGGGATCCAGCACTCACACCGCATGCTCAGCTTCAGTGATGCTCTCCTGTCCATCATCGCCACTGTAATGGTCTGTGGGCCTCCCAGACGCCCCCCCCCCTCACCTTGGGACCCCGGCCACCCCCTCTCGAGAGGCCTTCTGGTAGACCTTGGCCCAGCATAGACCCTGCCCTGTCTCAGCAATGTCCTAGGGTCCCCTGGCCACCCAAGCAGCTGGATGGGTGGGGAGAGCAGTCCAGCACTGGCCCGAGTCCCCGACACACCCTGACATCCAAGGAGTGGTCTGCACAGCCCAAGAAATGTCCCTCGTTCTTTTTGTGTCTTTGCTCTCATAGATCCTGCCTGTGACCCACACGGAGATCTCCCCAGAACAGGTACTTGGGGAACCACAGTCTGCAGTATCCCGGGTGAGGGTTCCAGAGACTCACTCCATCCACGAGCCCAATTTTAGGCCCCCCCGGGCTGTGCCTGGCTGGGAGCACTGGGGCAAGGTTGTCTTCTGCTCTCTCGGCCACCCTTGTCGGCTGCAGTCCTGGCCTGCAGATAGGGGCAGTGCTCTGAAAGTGAGCCTTCAGGGTGGGCTGAGGACAGACAGTGCAGAAGCCCATCCGGCTGTGGGTCTGGAAGCCGGTTCCTGGTGCCCGCAGAGTGTCCGTCACGGTGGGTGTTGAGGGGCTGAGGGCAGCTTGCAGCTGCGGGGCAGGAGCCTCCTTGGTGCACAGGGACATGTGGGTTTTGTCATGGAAGTGAGTGGGAAACTTTTCTAAAGCAGAGTTTCCATTTGTATTGACAGAATATTTCTGTTTTCTAAGTTAAGTCATGATACTAGGCACCTCAAAAGCTGAACATGACCTCAGAAGACTCTTGAAAGTCCCCGGGCATGCCTGTGTGAGCGTGCCTCGCCCAGCCCCTCTGAACAGGGGTGTAGTTGGGGCCCAGAGGAGTGAGGGTGCGAGGGGCTGGGTCTGCAGGGCCCACTGGCACAGCTGCCGTCAGGCCTTCAGCCCCAGCGAGCATGCTCAGCCTGGACACACTGGGAATCACGGGAGCTGCTCAGAATTTGCCTTCTGCATCTCTGCCAAGAGGGCTGTACCTCTGGTGGGGTTTTGAAGAGAATTCGGTAACAATGCCGGTGTCGCCGGGGAGTGGCCACAGGAGTGTGGCAGGCCTGGTGCTGCTCTGCTCTTAGCCACCCTCCTCAGAGGAGGCCTGGTACCCACTGGGGCCCTGCTGCTTGCCTAGCTGTGTCTGCGCCAGAATCTTCTCTGGGGAGGGCTTGGGCCTGGGCCAGGTCAGAATGGGGTATGGGTGAGGGGCACCTGGGGGGCTCAGTTGGTTGGACGTCTGACTCTTGGTTTCAGCTCAGGTTCTGATCTCCCGGATGGTCAGCTCGAGCCCCACGTTGGGCTCTGCACCCAGTGGGGAGTTGGCTACAGATTCTCCCTCTTCTGCCCTTCCCCATTCCACACATGCTCTACCTCTAAAATAAATAAAATGTTTTAACAAAGAAAAAGGATGGGCGTGGATGTGTGACCGGAGATGCCAGGAGGTGACACAGGAAGGAGTTTGCAGTGAGCCCCACTTGTCTGCAGCTGGGGCCACTCGTTTGGAGAGCAGTACTTGTTGCTTGTTGTGAAATTTTGTATGTGTTGGCGGGTGCATGGAGAAGCTCTGAGCCAGAAAGTTGTGCAGCGATCTGGGGATGCCTTCAGAGAGGACAGTGCTGGAAGGTGTCAGCCAGTGGGCGCTCCTCCCAACTTGAAGGGAAAGACTAGTCAAGGCCCAGAAAATCTAGGAATTCAGAAACTCTGAGTCCTCAGTGCAGTACTGGCGTGTTGGGTGACACACCCACCGGTTGCGGGTAAAGAACCAATGAAAGTGGTAAAGCAATCAGTTATCCACTTGGAGTTTTGCTGATAAAGTCCAAGCTTTGTCTGTCCGAGTGCCTTCCCACCTAGGGGAGGCACCGCCACAACCTCACCGGGCTTCGGAGCTCCGTCACATTCAGGTGCCTGGCAGCTCAATGGGCTCCCTGCTCTGGACGAGGGGGTCTGTGCCTCAGGAGCCGGCGTTTCAGCGGGAAGCTGCACACGAGATCCCTGAACACACACCTATGGGACTTGGGGCGTCAGTGTTTTGGGGCAAGGGGCAGGGAGCTGGGGAGGCTGCCCTGAGGAGGAGCCTCAGGGAGGGGCTGGGCTCCAAGCTGAGCCAAGAACCCCGGACGGGGCCACCAGCAGCCATGGAGCGAAGCAGTTTCTGACGGTGACGCTCTTCTGTTCCACCAGTTTGACAAAAGTATACAGAAACTTCTGGCAACCAGGATTGCTGTTTATCTGATGACGTTTCTCATCGTGACTGTGGCCTGGGCGGCACACACAAGGTACGGAACGAGGCTGGGGGCTTTTTCCAGGCTGAGGTCCACATGTTGCGGCTCACTCGGTGTGTGTACCCCATGGCTGCAGTCCTCTGCCTCCCCGCAGTCCCGTGACACAGGGTCACCCGTTCTCACGGGTGCAGATGCCAGGCCTCGAGATAGGGCAGGGCGAGGGCATGTCATGCCACATGGGACTCTGGGCAAGGAGTAGGAGGCTGCGTTGTGAGCAGAGCGGCTTCTAGGGACTTAGGCCCACTCTCAAGCCAGAGCTTTCTCTCCGGGAGGAGAGGTTCCTGGGGATCTACCAGAGCTGCAGGGGAGCCCGGAGCCCCAGGCGGGGTGGCGGGCAGGCAGGCTCTCAGAAGAGCGTTGGGGCAGGATGTGCACTGATGCCCTCAGCTCTCTGCCCCCGCAGAAGCAACACTTACAGGTGGGGGTGCCGGGCGCACAGGGAAACCGGGTGCCCCTCAGACACGGGCGCTCGCATTGACGGTGTCTTGGCCGCGTACATTACAAACTTATTTTCAGCAAGAGGACCGTTTCTGGCAGGGACAAGTGGCCCTCCGTAAGGGCTTAGGGGAGGGCTTTTCTCTCCCACCTCGCTTGTCCGTAGAGAGTGAGGAGGGCCACAGCCACCCTCTGCCTGGTACTGCTGGTGGCCCTGCCAGCACCTGATGTACCTGAGCCCCTGTCACTCCAATGGCATGGACAGAGCCACGCAGCACCTCGTGTGTGTGCTGAGTCATCCACGGCCACACTTGGGGCTGCAGTACCCAGAGCGGCACAGATCCCACCTGGGGCCCTCACGGCTGTGCGCCATGGGTCGCCAGTGGGGCTGCTGTCCCAAGGGGATGTAGCCCTGAGTACTGGCCCCCTCGAGCTCCTTTTGGCCCCTGACTGGATCTGGGTGGGGATGGGGGTACTGAGGCCCACTGAGCCCTGCCCAGGAGAAGGTCCTGTCCTCAGAGGGTTCAGAGTCCTGAGGGGTCTCCATGGAGGGGCTGGGGGAGTTCCTCAGTCGCTCGTAGTCCCTGGCCCTGTGTTTAGTTTTCTGTCTCACCTTCCTGCCTTCATATCCAGCCACCTCCCTGTTCGATAGGGTGTTTCAGCGTGCTTAGTGTATGGCAACCCCAGAAGGACTTCCTTTTTTAAGAATGGTCTTCGGACACAAGACCTGAAGAACAAGTTTCCTGGGGGTTTGACTTGTCCTCCTCAGGGTTCCAGTCTCCCAGGGTTGCCAGGGGATGTCCCAGAGCCCTTGGGGTGCCTCCCGAGGGCACACCCTCCTTCCACAGCTCCCTCTGTGGCTTCTGCACACCCACCTCTCTTGGCTCTCTTGGAAACCACACGCCCCAAGTTACAAGAGTCCATGCGAATGGGAGCAGTGCAGTTTCTAGGGACTTAGGGTCTCCTGTTTGTATTTTCAGTGTCTTCCAAAGTTTGTACAGTAGGTAGTATTCCAAATTTGGTTAAAGATGACATATGTGGGGCGCCTGGGGGGCTCAGTCCGTTAAACACCTAGCTCTTGAGTTGGGCTCAGGTCACAGTCTCAGGGTCCTGAGATTGAGCCCCTCGTCGCGCTCCGTCCTGGACAAGGAGACTGCTTGAGATTCTTTCTCTCCCTCTGCCCCTCCCCCCAAAATGACATCTTTTACTGATACTTTAATCAGCAAATGCTGGGCCCCGTGTAGATGCTGTTAAGAGCCCCTTTACTGACAGCATGCCTTCCTCATTTTCTTACACGGTTTAGACTGTTCCAGGTTGTTGGGAAAACAGACGACACGCTTGCTTTGCTCAACCTGGTGAGTCCTTTCATTTCTTGAGAAACGATTATGTTTGTAGGCCTGTCCTCTAAGGAAGGCAAGCAGGGTCTTGACCTTTCTGGTGCCTCTGGGGTACAGAGCCTGGAATCCACCAGCACCCACTCCTGGGCTCCTCACATGTCCTCCCTGGGGATGCCCCTGAGAAGATGAGGCCCCTCCCCTCCTTGTCGGGTGGCGAGGGTGTGAGCTTCCTGGGAGTCTAGGAGGTAGACTATGACAGCCTGCAGGTGGGGCACTGCCAAAGGTTGCCCTGGGCAGCAGGGCCTGGAGCCACCTGCCTGTCTTCCCCTCCTGCCCTTCCTCCTCCTTTCTAGGCCTGCATGATGACCATCACCTTCCTACCGTTCACTGTGAGTACCTGCATTTCCTCCCTGGGGCCAGCCTGCCCTCCCCTGGGCAAGAGGACTCAAGACCCAGGATGCCTCCGCCTCGGAAACACTCAGACTGGCGGGGTGGTCTAGGGCCCAAGTGCCGTGCTACGAAGAAGAGAAAAGCCCCAAGGGAGCTGACAGCAGTCTCCGCTGCTTTGGGGGTGGGCATACCTCGGGTTCCAAGGCTGGTCGAAGGAGGGGAAAGCCTCCCCAGAAGGGGCCTGCAATGGCAGAGATGCCAGCTTGGCCTCTTAAGGGCCCGACGAGGGGCATCCCATCCGTGCTCAGCGGCACTCCCGGCTCCTGCCTGGCCTGCATCCCTCTGCCATGGGCCGTCCTGGGCCCCTCCCCGGCAGCTCCTTCCCACCTGCCCCGACTCTCAGTTCTGATAGAACTGTGGTCTGGGTGTGCAGGGCTGTGTGTCACAGAGAATTCTTCATGAATTTGATGATGTTTCAACTTGAAAGGCTGGAAGCATTCTGTGGAATTGGCTGTGGTTGCAAGGGACACCCTCCGGGTCTGAGCCCAGTGTGTGCACCTGGCCGGGAGCAGGGGACTCGTGGGGTGGCGGGGACCTGCCGAACCTGGTTGTTTCTTGTCTTGTGTTTTTGTCTGCAGTTTTCCTTAATGGTGACCTTCCCTGAGGTGCCTCTGGGCATCTTCTTGTTCTGTATGTGTGTGATCACCATCGGGGCCGTGCAGGTAGGACCCCCCCAGCCTGCCTCCTCCACACACACACACGCTTGTCATCCTGGTACACACGTCTTCCACACGTGTGGATGTGGCGTGTCAGCCATAGCAAGGGTCATGCTTGTGGGGCATGCTGTAGGGTGACCGCCCGGGCCCTCTGCCATGTTGCGGCAGAAGATCCAGAGATTGCTAGAGCCTGGGCTTCCTGTGCTGGCTACAGAGGGTCAGAGCCCTGCGGTGCCTGGTGGGGCGAGACTCTCTGGGACCCCCATGTGGCCCTGGGAGCAGAGCAGAGGCTCCTGTCCCCTCTGCATCCCTAGGTCATTGCGTGCTGAGCCTCACACCCATGCGGCTCTGTCCGTGGATGTGGGTGGCTGGGGATTACTGGCCAGAGGCCTCTGCCTATGCCCTGCAGCCTTCCTCTCCCACAGGCGCTGATCGTTGTGTATGCGTTCCACTTCCCCCACCTCCTGAACCCCCAGATAGAGAGCTCCGCCCACAGGGCCCTCTACAGGCAGCATATCCTGGGCATCGTCCTTAGGGGCCCAGCGCTGTGCTTCGTGGCCGCCGGCTTCTCCTTGTTCTTTTACCCCTTGGTGAGTGAGGGGAGCAGGGGGTGGGGTGACTGTCTTATGGAGGAGATGCCCCCAGGAGGGTGGGCTGGGGGGGGTACAGCCGTGCAAAGGTCTCGGGGATCACCGGCACACGGCCTCGCATCCAGGGTGCCAGGGAGCACAGCTGGAGGGAAACTCTCCCCACCGGGACCTGCTGTGCAGGCAAACAGGCGCCACAGAGCCAGGCCTGCGTGAAGAGACACGCCGTCCAGTGGGGGCAGCCAGTGGGCCGTGACCACCCACGTTTTCCCCAAGTGGGCGAATCCTTAGGACGAGAAGAGAGAGAGAGACGGATGCCCAGAGTCTGGGCTGTGCTTGTTCTCTGGGCGAGTAAGGGGTCCATGTGAAGCCACCATGCAGCCAGCACTAGAGGGCCTCTGGGTGGAGGGGTCCCAGCAGCCTTGCTGTCACAGCAAGCAAGAGGCGCAGTAGGGAGCACTTGCAGAAAGGTCCTAAAGACCCACGTGGAGGGTGTGGGCCGCCCAGAGAGAGCGCAGGAAGGAGGGGAGGAAGCCCCCCCTGCCCGGGGAATGGCCAGCTCTCAGGAACACCCAGCTGAGGTCAGAGGTCAGGATGCCTCCTGCAGATAGCCCTGACTCAGTCTGTGCTGCCTCTGTGCAGGGATGCCAGAACTTGGAGCTGTGTCAGCCAGGTCGTAGAAGTCAAGGTCGGCTAGTGCCCTTTTAGCCCTTAGCTAATGGAATAGGAATGTTCTAGAACACTCTTGCCATCTGGGAATGCAGAGAAGTACAAACCAGCAGCCGTCCCAGTGGGTTTCGGGGGCTGTAGGCATGGCTCCTGCTTGGATCCGAGCCCTCACCAAGTACAGGGAAGCGTTGGGCCCAGAGCATCATACCTGGGAACAAATGGTTGATGATGTTTTAAATGTCTAGTAAACATCCCAGGAGATTCCAAGTTTGAAACAGATAGGCTGGCAAGGCTGAGCATCATTTCCTCGAGGATGGAGCTGCGTGCTGGGGGCTGAGTGGCTGAGGTATCAGAGGTCAGGCCCAGGCAGGCAGAGCAGGGTAAGGCGTAGGATGGCACACCAGGTGGAAGGCAGGCTCGGGCTGCTGCTTGGTTTCTTCTGTCCTGAACATGTTGGAGGTGCAGGGGCGCTGGCGGGAGGGATGTTGCAGGGGTGCTTGGGGTCATGCAGGGCATCCTTGGCTGTGGCCTCTAGCACGGTAGCTCCCAGTGCACAGGGCAGGGCCAGAAGGGGGCCAGGAGTAAGGGGCATATGGTCTGAGGCCACATACATGTCCTGGCTCCAGGTGGGACAGTCTCTCCAGGCTGTGCACTCAGGGTAGCCCACAGCAGGCATCGGTTAGACAAGGTCAGCGCTTGAGGAACGCCAAGGGTCACTGCTTGGAGGATGGAAGGGACAGCTGGGGTCTGCGGTGGGTGGCCTGGGTGAGCTGAACAGAGGGCCAGGGTAGGCTGGGTGCGTGGGTAGTTGTCCGGTGTGTCCTGGGGGATAGCAGGTGCCACGGCACTGGGGCTATGGGGAACTGGACAGTGACCACACCCTGGTGGGATGACAGCAGTGGGGGAGGGGACACCTGAGCCACCAGACTGGGGGAGGGGAGGGCTGAGAGGGCCCAAGTGGTCAGTAGGTTCAGGGGCCTCAAGAGGATGGGGTCACTCAGGCCCTGACCCTCAGTGACAGAGTAGTCAGCGCTCTGTCCAGCCCCACTCACCTGTCCATCAGCCTTCCTCCCTCCTTCCCTGCAATGCGGCTCTGACCCCTTGCACCCACCCCCTCACCTCCTTGCCTGGAGCCCACCACCGCCTGGGAGACAGCATGTCCAAGCTTCCTGACCCCTGGGCAGGTCCCTTGGAGCCTCCTTGGCAACCCCGTGGCCTCCATCCTCACAGGCATTCCCTCAGCCAGATGCCTTGCTGGGTCCACCTCTGAGGTCCAGCCCCTTCTCACCACCCTGGTCTAGGTCATCCTGTCCTCCCTATGGACTGCCTTCCTCTGATGAGGACACCCGCAGGGCCCAGGGCCTTGCCTGCCAGCATCTGTGTAGTGCCTCTTGTGTCATGTTCCCCCACCCCCACCAGACTCCCGTTCCTCCCCCGATCCTGCAGTGGATGGCACCTCCCTCCTGCCTCCCAGCCGCCCGCAGGGTCTCTGTTGAATTCCGCGTGGGATGTGGTCTCTTGGAGTGTGGAAACCGGGTTAGAGACAGAGGTAGGGTGCATCTGAAGTGTCCCACAGTCTCCCTGATGGCAGCATGTGCATCATCGTCTCCCCATGTCAGGTGACCTTGAAGAACCGGGTGTGCAGGACAGAGGGGGTGGGAGCCCCTCATTGAGGGCAGGCATGGGATGGGGCAGGGGCGGCAGGAGAAAGGCCTTCCCTGCAGGGCTGCCGGCTGGGTGGTATGGGGCCTGAAGGACTCCTGCTGCCAGGGCCCAGGACTGGATTTGCTGGGCCACCTCGACCCGGCCCTGCACCCTTCCTGGAGTAACATGGCGGACATACAACGTAAACTTCATACTCCCGCGTCCACTGCCACCTGCCCAGTCCAGGGGCCCCAGCCCACAGCCACCACTCCATCTACTTCTAGACTGCTCCCATGGCCACAACAGAAACCCAGCACCCCTGAGCAGTCTGCACCCCCCACCATGCCCTGCTCCCCCAGAACCCCCCTGTCTCTAGAGCTTTGCCAATTCTGGGTAATTCATGTTAAATGGAATCATAAAACATGAGGCTTTTACATCTGGCTTTTCTCAGAAAAATGTTTTCCAGTTTGTTCCTGTGGTAGCAGGTGTCAGATACCCACCCTCTCACTGGAAGTTCACGGGAAGGACCCAGCTTGCTTACCTGTTGATCAGTCCATGGACTCGGGTGCCTCCCTGTCTCCACCACGGTGCACAGGTCTCCCTCGGCCCACGACCTTGCCATAGCTTGTCAGTGTCTGCTCCTCCAAGAGCAGCTGTCCTGTGGGCTGTGATGCAGGGTCACCCGTGGTTCTGACCCGCATTACCCTGATCCCTGGTGACACTCAGCATCCTGCTCTTTGCGGCTCGGCCACTGCACAGGTCCTTCGGAGAGCTGTCCACTCAGCTCCTCTGCCCACCTGGGGTTGGGGGTTCGTGCCTTTGCTCTGGAGCCTGAGCTCTCCACCTGCCCCAGGTGCCAGACCCTCGTCAGTGGTGCGGTCTGCTGGTACTTTCCCACATTCTGGGAGCTACCTTTTCCTTCTTCTGGAAGTACTCTGATGCACAAAAGTTTTCCAGCTTGATGAGATAGAATTCATTTGTGTTTTCTTCTGTTGCTCGTGCTGCCATCCCTTTGGGGCGGATGGTGTCTGCCGTGTGGTGTGTCTCACGCAGTCGTACCTGCTGATGGCGATGGTCATCTTCCTCCCCTACGTCAGCAAGGTCTCCAGCTGGTGCAAGGGCAGGCTTGTGGGTAGGTGCTCGGCACTGCTCCCCAAGGCCTGTGAGCATGGGAAGGGCCCAGGCAGCCATAACGGCCAGGTGTCCCTGCAGAGTCTCCTCCCCTGGCCAGCTCCTCCTTCCTGGCACACCCACAGGCCCCCAGGAGCCCCCAGCTCACAGCGTGGAGTTCTTCACTTTTGACCTGCACGAACCTCTCAGCAAGGAGCGGGTGGAGGCCTTCAGTGATGGGGTCTACGCCATCGTCGCCACACTCCTCATTCTGGACATCTGGTAAGGACCCAGCCCTGAGGGAGGGGGTCCATGGCCTGTCTGTCATCATCCAACCCCACAGAGGCAGGGGCTGAGGTCTCCTGATGCTAGCCCTCCGCTTGAGGAGGAGTCCCACCCTGGACCGAGCTCCGGAGAGTTCAGGCTCTGCTGTGCTAAGGGTGGGGGACACACAGGACTCCTCCTGTCGCTTCTCCCTTCCCCAGGCTGGGTCGATGGGTGTGGTTGGGCTTCCCCAGCCTATGCTTTTCTTCTCCTTTAGGCCTCGCCCCCAGACCAACCCTCCCCTCTTCCCCCCATTCCCCACCCAAGTCTCCCCCCAACTCCTCATCCCCCTGCCAGCTCCCCCAATCCCTGTCTCCCCTAGGTCCCTCCCCCAGGGCTCCCCCTTCCAGGGCTTCCCACCTCCCATCTCCTGCGTCCTCCCTCCTGCTCCGTTTTGCCTTCACTGGGTGCTCTTTTGCCCCATCTAATCTACTGTTTCCCTCTGTCAAAGTTCTCAGTTAATGCATTTTTAAGTGTTTCATCTGCTTTTTTTTTCTTATTTTCCATTCTTTTTTAGAGCCTCTTGTTCCTTTGGTCCTATTTCAAAACATTCTTATTTTGTTGGATAGGTTACACCATCTTGATTTTACATTTTATATCTGAAGGCCTAAAGTATTAGTTCTCCTAAGTCTCTTGATAGCTTGTTCCTACTGTAATTTGTGAATTTTTAAAATTGGGGTCCAAGTGCTCATTGGTGTCTACCCCTGAGCCTTGACCCAAGGTTGCAGGATGGTGTGGCTTTGCTTCCACCGGTGAGGCCCAGCCAGCCCCAGTTCCCTGGTGAGCAGCTGCGAGGAGCAGAGGAGGACAGGCCCCCATTCTGCCCCCAGAGCCACAGCCCCCACCTTCAGACTCCTGCAGCTCCACCCCCCAGACACATGTGCAGCCCCCCATTGTGAGTGTAGAGGCATCTCCGGGTGCTTGCCCCCCAGCCTGGGAATAGGACAGTTCTTGGGGCCACACAGTTGGGGCCGCCCACAAGGGGGAGAATCTGAGATGTGCCTTAGAGTTGCTCCTTCCAGCAGCACTCAGCCCAGTGATCTGAGAACCACAGAGGCTGCCCCCGCCCCCAGATCAGGGGGACCACCACCCAAGTGGCCCAGCAGGTGCCGGGGTATGGACAGGGCTCCATGGGAGCCCCGTGGAGGCCAGGGGGCTGTGGGCTCAGGCTGGGAGCCGCAGCCCCAACCTGACTGCCCACGGCGGGGCCAGGACCAATGCTGTGTGTTGGCCGCCCTCAGCGAGGACAACGTGCCGGACCCCAGGGACGTGAAGGAGAAGTTCCATGGGAGCCTGGTGGCAGCACTGAGCGTGTACGGGCCGCACTTCCTGGCCTACTTCGGCTCCTTCGCCACGGTGGGCCTGCTCTGGTTTGCCCACCACTCGCTCTTCCTGCACATCCGCAAGGCCACGCAGTCCATGGGGCTGCTCAACACACTGTCACTGGCCTTCGTGGGCGGCCTCCCGCTGGCCTACCAGCAGACCTCAGCCTTCGCGCGACAGCCGCACGACGAGCTGGAGAGCGTGCGCGTCAGCTGCGCCATCATCTTCCTTGCCAGCATCTTCCAGTTCGCCATCTGGACCACGGCCCTGCTGCACGAGGGGGAGACGCTGCAGCCCTCGGCCCGCTTCGGGGGCCGGGAGCATGCGTTCATGTTTGCCAAGCTTGCGCTGTACCCCTGTGCCAGCCTGCTGGCCTTCGCGTCCACCTGCTTCCTCAGCCGGTTCAGCACGGCCATCTTCCACCTCATGCAGATCGCTGTGCCCTTCGCCTTCCTGCTGCTGCGCCTCCTCGTCCGCCTGGGCCTGGCCCTTCTGTGTGCCATGCGGGGCCTCACTCAGCCAGCAACCCAGGCCGAGGAGGACGCACACGCCCCGCTCCTCCCTGCTGCCTGCTAGCTCCTGGGGCCTGGCTGCCCCCACCTGCACTCAGCCTGCTTTTGGTTTGTATCTTCAACCTTCTTCTCTAGAGCCTTCGGTAGATTTCTGCTTCTGCAGACAGTGCGACAGGAGCTTGTGTCCCGGTCTCTGTCCTAGGCCCACATTCTTGCTCTTTGTGAAGCTAAACCACCGGGGTGCTCGCGCTCTTGCTGGGAGCCCATTGTGCCAGCCCTGAGTGGGGCGTGGGTCCCCAGGTACAAAGGACACGGCAGCAGCACAGCAATGGCCACACTGTATTGTCCTGGATATAAATTATGCTTACATTCAGGTAGTGACAAGGTACACAAGGGCCTGGGTGCAAGCCCACACCACTCCTCTGGGCGCACAGACGCACTTAAATACAAAGGACAGACGACTACAGACCAGAACGAGAGCCGAGGCCTGCAAAGCGGACACAAGTGATGCCACCAGGGACGTCAAGGCAGACACACGTGTGTGTGCTGGAGGCACATGATAGGGATGTCCCACCACAAATGGCCACTACAGTACATTTGTGCGGATTTGGCAGAAGCTCGGGGGACATGGGGCTAGTGGGCAGAGCTCGGTCACATGGTGCTGGCAGCAAACAGCCAGGATGAGTGGAGAAACAGGATTCCTGGGCCTTTCTTTGGGGCCCCTGGAGCCTCCCCAGACTGATCCTGGGGCTTGTCTGGACCCAGGGTAGGGGAGGCCCAGGCACCCGGTCAGCTGGACGGCGCTGGGAAGGGCATGTTGATCGTTGACAAACAGGTGATTAAAGCTGGCTCCTCCCCAATGTCACACTTTGTAAACTTCCTCTGGGCCTCCCCGCCGCAGGTTTGCTTTTGGTCCCTTCTGCATACTCTGCCCCAGCCCATGAGGGCCCAGCTTCCCTCCTGCTGCATCTCCAGGATGTCAACCAAGCCCACGGGCCTCAGGGCCCTCCGCCCCCCACATGCAGCCCAAGCAGCTCCTCCACAGTGGCAGGGCCGGGAAAGAAGGCAGCTTCCCCAAGACAAGTGGCAGGTGTCTCCACCCAGCCCTCAGTGGGAAGATAGGCCGCAGGCCCTGGTGGTTGGGGCATTCGGGGTCTGTACTGGGCCCACTCTGTTAGGAACATCCGGGGGGATGGCCCAAGATTCGGTGCTGCCCAGCTCAGTGGGCTCACAGATGGTGGGGGGATGCAACATGAGAAATGCCTTCCACCCAGGATGGTGGCCTGGACCCCAGGGGGCGGGACGACTGGCCAGCCAAAGCCCCGCACCCAGCCTGTCACTGGATCGGAGGCCGGGGGGGAAACAGCTGCTACCCCACGCAGCTTCCAGGTGCATAGGGGTGAGGAGGAGATGCCCCCAGTCAAAGCCATAGGCAAGTCCATCCACCACTGGCTGGTGCCTGCTGCTGCTGGACAGGCAAGCTGCTGCAGGGTCCCTCTATTTGGAGTCCCCTTCAGGGATGGGCACCCCGTCTGCTCGGGCATCCTTCGGGGTTCCCGCCTTCCTGGGTTTCTGCTTGGTTTTCCTGAGCATGTGGACCTGTCCCACAACAGGTCAGGTCAAAGTGCTGGAAGATACTGCAGGCACGGTCTCAGCCCACTTTACAGAAAGGGGGTGGGTTTCAGCCTGCGGGCCCCTCCCCTCCCTGTACCCAGGGGTCCACTGGGGAGTAACGGTGCACCGCCCAGCCAGCCCTCAGGGCCCGCCCAGCTCACTGCATGTGGTACCTTGGGGCCCACAGCCGAGATGATCATGTGCCCAGGAGCCTGGACCCAGGGCTCACCATCCACTTGCACGGGCGTGGCCTTGAGAAGGGTGACGCGGAAGTAGGAGCCCTGGGCAATGCGGATGCCGGAGCGCAGCCCGCCCTGGACCTGGCCCTGATAGTGGAGAGAAGGCCGGTGGGGCTCAGCGGGCTACGGTCCCACGCCAGGGCCCGCCCCGGCTGTCCACACTCACCATATGCATGACGCCCGTCACCCCCACCACCTCTAGCAGCCCATCATCCATGCGTGGCTTCTCGAACCTTGAGTCACTGTCGGAGCCCCATAGATCGGCCCCCGAGCCCCAGCTGTACCGAGGGAGGGGCGCACAGGTGAGTGGACAGGCTGGACGAGGGCCTCAAGCCCCACCAGAGGAGCCCTTGGAGCCCCACCCACTGGCACCTGGGGATGTTGATGAAGATGAGACCCTCAATGCTTGGCAACTCCACTTCCTGCTGCTCCACCTGCAGCCGGATCTCCTTGTGTAAGCCACGGGAGTGGCTGATCTTCTGCAGCCCAACCCGCACGTACACGCCTTTATTGTGGAACCTGCGGAGGAGGTGTATGCCTACAGTCAAGGTGGAGCCCTTGCCCTACCTATGACACCCCCCTCCACAGCTCCACAGCCCCAGGTTCCAGCCCTATCCACCAAGACCTGCTGGTGAATCCCAGGAAGTACGCTGTCACCAGGGGGCAGCCCTGTGATCTACAGCAGTCCCAACCCCCATCCTTGATGTTCTGGCACCTGCTTGTGAACTTGCCAGGCTCCTCCTCCCGTGCCTGGTGGAAGTCCAGGCTCAGCTCTGCATCAATGCCTATCCCGCAGTAGTTACTCATCTGCACAATCTGGAGATAAGATACATTCTCCCATGACCCTGGTCAGTTTTCACCACGTGCTCCCCACCTCCCCTAAGCTGGGTCCAGCCTCCTCGTCTCCAATCCAACCCTCCGCTGTTGTCACAGCTGCTTCCATCCTCTGATTGATGTGCACTCAGGGGAGGCAACCATCTGAGCCAGCCAGCCCGGGATGTCCCCAGCAAGCCGCTGCTGACCATGCCTCAGCTTCCCCGTAAATGGGGTGGCCCTGGTGCCTACACGAGGTGGTGGCTGGGATCCACATGAAACCCTGGACAGAAGCAGAGAGTTGCCTGTGGGGGGCCCGACAGGTGCCACCCTGGTACCTTGGGGGGCTCAACGTCTGCCATGCTGTCCTCTGCAGCGCCAGCCTCGTGAGCATCCAGCAGAATGGTCCAGCGGTCCATGAGCACGGCATCAGCCTCATCCACTGACACCAGCACGGAGAATGGGTCCTCCCCACTATAGCCCGCCCCCCAGCGGAGGACCCGGCCGAGGTCATTCCCTGGGATGGGGACAAGAGAAGACGGACTCTCTACACCCACCCCCCTCCCACCCTCCCAGGCCTGTCCCCCGATCTGCTGGCCGACCCCACCTGTGCCGAGCGGCAGGATGGCCACGGAAGGCTCCGGGCACGCCAGACGGTGCCGCATCTCCTCCAGGGCGGCGAGCACCCAGCCCACAGTGCCGTCCCCACCACACACCAGCACCCGGAAGCAGGGCACCTGAGAGAACACGTGGAACCTGGCAAGAGGCAAACAGGAAGCACTTGGTGCACGCAGGCCGACAGGAGCACCCAAGCCAACGCAGAACAGCCTGGATGGTTCCGTTCCCTCAGGCCTCTCCACAGCCGTGTGCAAGCACCCCTCCAAAGGCTCGTGAGGCTGTGAGCAGCGTGGCGGGAACCCCCACACTCACCCAGGAAGAGGCCCCCCGTTGGTCAGTTCAAAGACCTGGTGAGGGTTCAGCAGCTTCCGGAAACTACAGAGCAGGTCACGGCCCTTGAGGCCTCCACTCTTGGGGTTCACAAACACAAGGAGGGGACAGGAGTCTGGGGGCAGCTTCGTGTGCTGACAGATGGGGGGGTGCTGGGTTAGTGCAGGTTCTCAAGGCCACCCCATGGGGGCAATGACAAGTGCTCCAACCCTGAGCCCACATAACCTGAGCCCACCTAGTCCCCCGCCCGAGGAAGGCACATATGTGCCCCAGGAGGAGATGAGGCTGGCCGGCCTGGAGCTCTGAGCATACAGGCCACGCCACCACCCACCAAGACCCTTGTGGCCAGACTGTGCCAACTGCCTGATCCACACAGCTGAGGCTGGACACCCACGTGGGAGTCCACATGCCCCTCCTGCAGCTCTCCGGGACCCTGCCCACCCCCAGCACAGCCAGCAGGAGCAGCCAGGCTCACAGAGGGGCCCCTGCCTCCCATAGGCAGAAGTTCATCTCCCAATGAACAACCCCCAAAACGTGGGGCCCAGAGACAGCAGGTAGGAGGCTGAGGTCCCAGCAATAGTGAGGGTGGTGTGGGGTACCAGCATCCATTGGTGGGAGATGCTGGGTAACAGGCATGACTCAGCAACACCTCAAAGCCAAGGACACACTCAGGGTGATGTGTGACTCGTGGGGCAGAGCTGCCTGCAGTCCTCCCACACCCGCTCACCCCACAGCAGGGAGCTACCAGGAGAAAGTACACATTGGCACCGCCCACCAGGCTCTGCCTATCAGGGACCCCAACCTGCAGGGGCTGCATCCTCATCAGACAGCACGGTGACGCCTGGCTCAGGTGGGAGAGGGCAGCAAGGCCCAGGAGATGCCCCCCCAGTCCCCAACAGTGACCTCACCTACCCCCCAGTCCCCAACAGTGACCTCACCTACTCTTAATTCTGCTGCACCCAGACAGGGCTCCGGGGTCAGGGCTGGAGCAGCCACCAACACCTCAGGGGAAACCTTGGGGGCCAGCAGGGGTGAAGACCACACTCTGGCAAAGGCACAGAGCGTAGGGTAGTACCTGGGGCTCCAGCCCCTCACCCTGCCCCAAACCACATAGTGTCCACCCCGGGCCTGGGCTTATCCCACTTCACTCTTCCAGATGTGGTCCAAAGTCAGGGAGCCCCACCTCTGGGCCAGAGGTGGCCCAGGCCTCCCAAGCAGGGGTCCCAGTGACCCTCGAAAAGGCAAGGGCCTCCCAGGATGTGTGCATACACACAGCCCCTAGGAGGCAGCCATGGCAGGATGGGAACTGCAGCTTGCAGTCCTCCGCCCGTCAGCCATGGTACAGACCTGTTGCCCCCAGATCTCAGAATCCTCCCAGGCTATGAACCGTGTGTTAGACAAACCAGTGTCCCTGATGGCACCCACTCACCAGCACGTCTGGGAGCACCAGGGCAGTGAGCGGCCGGCCGTGCACAGCTGTGTCCCTGACCAGCATGTAGAGCCGCTCGGCCTCCGCGAAGCAGGCCACGTCCAGCACCACGGCACCTGCAGCACGGGGACTGTGAGCTCAGACTGTGGCCTCCCTCATCCTGCTGCCAGAAGGGACCCTGGGTCTGGCCATCCAATGGCAGCCATGTGATGCAGGACCACCAGCCCCGTGGAGCCTTTGAGGGTGACCAAGCTCAGAGACAGGACACAGAGATGGACAAAAGAGGGCAGCGTGGCAGAGCACACCCTCACCCCAGGGCCTGGGAGGAACACCCCCACAAGAATGGAGGATACTGATTGCTGGGGAGCCCCAGAAGGCATTTGGGGCTCATGGGAATAGCCTCCCGCTTCTGGGCAGATTTGCAGTCTCCCAAGAAAAGAAAGATGCAAACCCAAGGGCAGAACAGGTTTTTGAGAAAAGTCCTCTGCAACTCAATCACATTTTAGCAAAAGCATGATAGCTGGGAGCCAGGGGAAAAAACCACAAATGGGTCCCTCCCACAGGGTTCCCCCAGAAAAAGGTCAGGTCCTAAACAAAATGGAAACACTGAATACGGAGGTAAGAAGGGCAAGCCTTTCCACCTAACTCCAGAGCCCAATCTGACCATGCCCTACAGCAGCGGCTCACCTTGGGAGGAGTAGACGTGACTCACGGACACCAGGCCAGCTGCGAAGATAGGCTGCGGTCAGGGGAGGTGCGCGGTCCCCAGGCCCTGCCCAGCCTTGGAGGCCAACCCTGCTGCTCCTGTTTGCAGGTG